TGTACTTTAAAAGACTGTTTTCTAGAATTAGAAAGCACCATATATAACGTGTGACCAGTGAAGTGATTCTGTTAATTAAACACTTTAGTGTTCTTTTATTATTTACACTATGAGTTAAATATCAAGCATTGAAAGGCAAATGATGAATTAACAATGTTTTTTTTAGGTCCATCCACAAGAGGTCTCTCATCTGTTGGAATACAGGTTTCAGTTGCTATGCAAAAACAGATTAGAAAAAGAATAAGAATCCAGTATAATTTTCACTACTTTTAAAGATTTGAACAACGATAGAAAGATGCCAACTCTCTTGGGTAACAATTATGATCCAGGGATACAAATAAAATGTTCTAGGCAAAAATGGGAGGGCAATGGCTAGAAACTGACCTTTGGAAAATGGAAGTGCTTACAACAAACATTTGAGCAAATCTCTGAGCAAAAGAATACTCAAATCTCTACCAGACTTTGCCCTTTGGGAGAATCTGGTTGAAGTGGCAGCTTGTAAACCTGCTCTTATGAGCCTCCAACATCAATCTATATTTAAACCAACATACTTGGATTTATATTTGTATCTTATGAGAGAGATTTTTCTGTTTGGCTTTAAATAGGCTCCTATTTTTGCACCCACATTCCAGAAGCAGCAAGAACTGTGTATGCAACAGCAGGTACAGATTTATGTCCACAATTACCTATATCTGCAACTTGTGGATACAAAAAATAAAACAACCCAAAGGTCACTGTTTCCAAACTATTTCTAGTTGCATGTTTGGGATCCCCAAGACAAAATAGTAACCCCCCTGGTTTTCTCATGGGAGAACTCGGCAACTTATCCTACTAATTGGATTATTAAATTAATCCTTACTATTTTCTGGGGGCAGGGGGAGGGGAATAAAGAATTTCCATCTAAAAGGTTTCATATGTTAATGAGATCTAGTTAAAAAGGACCAGTTCAAGTGCACTGAATGGCAAATCAATGTGAAATTACATTAAATGACCATATCCAGAAAGAAGTCCTGAGGTTAAAAAAAAGCATAGGACACCACACTGGAATCTAGAACTCACCCATCTCAGCAGAGCACCCGCATCCCTACCATCAAGAGTTGTTGGTTTCTTCCTGAATCTGGTGTCAATGAATCAACTGATATTCCTGGCTATTGCTTACCTTCCTGGCCCCATGCATCTGGCATTCTTTTCTGTATAGCATCAACAGGAATAGCAGAGTACCCTATTTAACCTAGCCCAAAGCTTGGTGGTAAAACTGATCTCCAAGAGACAGGGGAGGTATATTTGAACCCTTCAGACTAAGGAGGGCCTAAAACCCAGGTCTCAGACTTTGTGGGTAAATGCTCCAATTGGTGGGCTCTTCTATAAAAATGGTGGGGAAAACTTCCTCCTCATCACCACCAGTGTGTTAATAGAATAGCAAGCCCAACTCATTCATTGAAAGAACAGTTGCTTGCATGTACCCTGAGGAAAGGATTCCAGGCTCTGAATCCTGGGTGGATGGAGACAGCTCTCTGCAGCCCCAACCTGGATGCCTATACTTTGGAAATGGGGTAAGAAGTTAGACATAACCTGTACTGAGCATTTCTAATTAGCTAGCTTTAGATGACTCCCTAGCCAGTGTGCAGGTTTTTGGATCTCCCTTCTGAGGTGCCTAACTCTGAATTTTGGATTTTACTCATAGGATCAGCCACTTACAATGTAGGTGTTGCAGCACCTAACTTGCAGTGACTTATGTCTTCATTGGATTTAAGCAGAACTCCCCCATTTCATAACACTCTAGTGCACAATAGCCAGGAATATCAACTGACCCATTGTCAGGAGATGCAAAAAGTTTTCAAGAAAAAAAGATGAAAGAGCCAAGCATTTTTGTGGGCAATATCTTTTAATGGACTAGCTCCATAGTTGGGAAATATTTAGACAAGTTTTCAGGCACAGAGTGCCCCTCCCTCAGGTCTGAAAATGAAATGGACAGCTTGAGCTATGTAGCAGAACAACAGCCTGTGTAACAGTCCAAATATAAAAAACCCATCTGCTTAGAGGAATGGAGCAGGGCGGTAAAATAAGAGGTAGCATGTTACTTCAACACAGCTCACCTGATGTCTGTAAAAGTTAGGATCTTTTTTGGCCAAAAAAGTGGGATATTTTTGCACTTTTATCTAATAGCCAATTGAATCAGCTTTAGCTAAAAGTGCCAAAAAGCCCTGCTGAAGCTCCCCACCTTTACAAATACTGCAGAGCTGGGTTGAAGTAACCATGCAGCTTCTTCTTGTCAAGCATGTTTTCTTTTTAAAATATCTAACAAATAAAACCAAAATGGCCATGGCTCATGGGTGCTGAGTACCTGCTAATTTTTTGGGTGGGTGGTTGAGCCCCAGAGCACCCATGGAGTTGGCACCTGTGTTCAAAAAGTAAAACACAAGCTAAGTGCCAACACAGCATAGCAACATGAGGCCTTTCCTGGTGAGGATTATCTCTAGATGTATTACCTGACATGTTGAACTAACATTGGACTACTTCATGGAGGTAATATGATCAGGAGACTCTGGTGCGGTGCCATGGCTGTTTGTTGCTTCTAGCCCCAGCACCGCACCTGAGCTTTGGACCGGCTCCTGTGTAATGCAAGTGCTGGGACTGACAGACAGCTGTTTGTTGCTCCCAACACCCATACTCCACTGAAGCCTTGAACCAGCTCCAGTGCAATGCAGAAATAGAACCATTGAACAGCTGTTTGTTAGTCCGAACCCCAACAGTGCACCACAGCACGCTGAAGTCTTCAAAGGCTCTAACGCTTAATACGTGTTTTGTTTAGATTGTAGTAAAAATTGCTGTAAGACGCCTCATAAAACTTTCTAAACATAGGAATACGTATTATGATCTAAATAAAACATATTCTAAGTGTAATGTGCCAAAAGGCCCTAGGAGGGAAGGGCATCACCATGAAATCCACATGCCCCCGGAGGCTGGGGGAGGCACAGTGAGCTCCTGCAAGCAGCTGTAGCGCAGTCAGCAGCTGAGACACTGCCAAGAGCAGCGGCAATCACAGACCACCTGCAGGTGCCACCAGCATTGTCAGAGGCTTCTTTTTGCAGGGGGTGCACCGCCAGACTCAGGGAGTGCACATGCACCCGTGTGCACCCCCTATGTGTCATCACTATCACCTGTGAAGTGCAGAGAGATTAACAGGTATCAGGTATAAGAAGCCATAAAATCAATTTCTGGGTTTAGTCCCTGGTTTTTAGTATCCAGTAAAATAAGGAATGTTTGTTCCCAGGCCCATCATCTGAAGGTGTTCTGTAAATTTCCTTTGAGCACAAGGATTGCAAGGTCAGAAAAGGCGTAGCTTTTTCTGGGAAAAGTGTTCTACCTGTGTTCATGTGCCCTGTCCTTAATCTTTTTTCCTACGATCATTTATACTGGAGTGCAGCTTTGTCTAGTTTTAACTATGATAAAAAATGGTAAGAACAGTCTAACTCAACAAGACTGTGAACCTCTTACTTGTCCCTCCAATGCAGTACACACTGATTTCAAATGGCAAAATTTGCAGACTAAGGTACTATTGAATAGAAGAGAAGGTGAAAGAATCTGGTCCATAATGCTAATGCATCATTAAGATGAGCCATTTTGGAAAAAATCTGGCCCTTTAAATAAGACAAGATATAGTTAGCTCTACTTCCCAATGCTAATACACAAACACCTGTGAAAACCCTGATCACGTGGTAAAGAACCGTATGACTTTAATTGTTTTACACTGAACATTTACCTGGCTTTAAAAAAATAGCTGTTACTTTATCTATGCCCCTGGTAAACAAACACACTTTCTATTACACCCCTGCTTTCATCTATTCAGGATTCTTCAAAACATATCTTTAGGGTTGCCATTTTTTGTGCTTGGTCTTTTTCAGATCATGAGTTTTGCGTTGTTTTGGGGTTTCTTTAAGTATAAGCAACACAAAAGTCCTTGAGCTATTACTGAGTTGTGGGCATAAAAATACATTTTCCCAATACAGACAGAAAATAGCTTTTATTTTTAGAGGAGAGAAATAGTTGAAGTGGGCTGTACTAGCACCTCTGTTTAAGAAAAGGTTTAGATTTCAGAAAGTATTTGAAGATTATAATGAGTATGCTAACTAGGCATCTTTGTTAAGTCCAGAGCACTTTAAAATGTGGCTACAATGTGCCTGCAGCTCAGTCTTTAAACTTCTTTTTTCATATTGGTTTAAAGAACGCTATTACTCTTGATTGGTTAAAGCTGCTTACACCACTTGAAAGGTGTGGGGGGAGGAAATGCCAATAAAGAAGTCACATTCTTGACTAGGACAATTTGGTGCAAGAATCACAACAGGGTTGTATGACTGGTAGGAAGGTCATTGGCACTTAGGTTACCTATTGAATTTTTAAACTGCCCATAAAAGGTCTGTACTCATGCTTTGTCTGCAGATATGCAAGATGGAGCATATCTAAATTCCATGTGTGACGACCGGTCTATCAGAAGCTGTCAAAAGCTCCATAAGTGAAATAATGTGACAATACAGTGCAGAATCTGTAATAATATCCAACTGGCTCTCCCTCCCTCCCCCTCCCCTGATTTCCTCAGGTCAGGAGAGAACAGGATGGGAGTGGGAAACTCAGTTAGGACCAAAGGGTTGTATTCAGGGGTCTAAGAAGAATTGGTTACAGTCGAGGACAGGTCCAAGTAGCAAGTCAAAAGAGGTGACAAGTGTTCTCTCTCAACTGGCAGATATTGCTTTTTAAGAGTCCTAGTAGATGATTTGTTTTGAAAAAGGGAAAGAACAAGACTAACAGTGCAGAGGCCTGGGTCAGTCCATGGTGTCTAGGATAAGCATTTTCATTCTTAGTACAGAAATGAAGAGGATACATACATTACAGTCTCATCTCCCAAATCCTAAAGATGCTTCAGTGTAAAAGAAAATTAACAGGATATTAACTCAGCCCTGATGGATTTTACAGGAGAATTAGAGCAGGTTTGGAGATCTCACCTTAAAGGATTCAGCTTCACAAGTGGAATTCTTCTCCTCCTCTAGATCACACTCCTCATGCAGGTTGGCAGCACTAATGCCCTCTAAGCAGTACTCCTCATTCAGCTTGCTGCGGCAGCACTGCTCCTGGGCTATGCTGTCAATTGAAATTAAACAAAGGAAGAACAACATGCTTAGATCAAAGGCATATCAGGTGGTTTAATCAGTGCACCTATGAATATTTGTCCTAAGTGTCCAGGAAAGAGATTCTTGGAAGAAACACTTTAGCAGTCACAAACCTAAAAAATTATTTAGGTAGCAATAGAACAAGTGCTTATGAGGTACCAATCAACAGTGTTAACCTCTGGGCTGTCATTTACAAGCGACTACAAAGCTTTCCATTCCTCTCATTTTTTTTCAGCAGAGGAGATTGGTGCTTTTCCACCTCTTATTTTTATATTCATCCCAATATTCATTTGTAACTTAAAAATGGTGTCAACAAACTCCTTCCCATAAGCAAAATGTTAACGAAACTCATCCCACTCCAGAAATCCCTCCTATTTGCTCT